TTTGCCAATGTCCATATTGATTATTACATGTGCCATAGGTAATAGAATGTAAAGCGATTAGTTTGTTGTCCTTCCCCCGCACCTTCAAATAGCATAGTTGGCTATGCACGGTGTGAAAAAAGTTCAATTTTTGTTTAAAAGTAAAGTTTTAAAAAATCGTTCTTATCTGCTCCTGTATGCCTCAATTTCCCATGATTTTGAATCCTGACCTCCATTAATAACTGTCTTAAGGTTACATAATTTTACATGTTTCCGTGTTTCTCTTGAACAGATATTTTCGATTGTTTAGAAAATGTGTTAATGATAAGATATTATTCCTATTTATATTCAGCCCCAGTTTTCAGCCTTCTTTCTTATGTCGTGTATTTCAATTCCATTGTTTGCTATCACGACTAATCATCACATCTGAGATGGATAATATTTTCTCTATTTAAAGTAAATGTATGCCTTTATTTCTGTTTAAAAACAGTTTTATTCAGGCCTGTATTTATGAGAAATGACTGAATCAGTTTCCACTGATTAAATGACTTTGTAAAGAATAATTTACAGAGGTTAGGCAATAACAGCATTTGATATTCATTAGCCTTTCCCAGAATATGATTGATGCCTTTGATGGTGTTTGTTCGTTGCTAGAGAAACATTTCCTTAATGCATCTTGCTCATGCGGTGTGGATGGTTTATACATTTTTAATTACTCTGTTTCTAGCGATCTCCACAAACAATTATTTATCTACGTGTGATAAGAGGCTAATAGGTATAATTATTTTAAGTCAGTTGTATTTAATTTCTGAATACACGTATTGTAGAGGTCCGCTGATATTGTTGAGTGTTGACATGTGGAAGGCGGAATTAAATAAATTTATAAACGCGCAACGCTTACAACCCAGCTTACCACGAGTGCAAGCTCTATTAAACAGCCCTGTCTTGCATTTTCTACTGAACTGGTTAAATGTCTGTAAACAGTCTCGAACATCGCGCAGTGGCAGTGAGTTCCAGGCCGATGGACCGCTGCGCACGAAGCTGCAAGGTACAAGTGCGTGGAATTAAAACTATTTTCATTTTGCCAGGTAAGGCCCACTGAGACACATTGCTCCTTTTCAGAAGCGACCTAGCCGCAAATGATAGCTCAACGAAGTGGCTTATCACGTGGAAATGTGTAGCAGCCAAATACTTGACAATGCACGTTGATTCAAAATGTGGAGGGAAAATCCGGAGGACCCAGAGAAAAAATCCTCGTGACCACGGGGAGAAAGTGCAAACTCCAAATATTCAGGCATCGTCAGGGTCGGGATCAAACCCACGACCTCCTGTATACCAGGCGAGGTAATTAACATCTCATCACCACGGCGTCCTGCATGATCGGGGTCACCATAAGCTGCCGAACGAAGATGGCGATGATTGACAATGTAGTGAACCGGCACACACATGTTCATCAGACAATGGGGAGTGGATTGGTGTACACAGCGGTATACGAATGTGCACATCTTGGAAGCAATCCTTTGTTTAATTGGCAGCCAGTGCAGGTCATCATGCGGCTGAGTTCAAGACAGACTGGAGTGAACGTAGATCGACGGCAGATGAAGACACTATCAGAATTCGTTCCCATGACTGGTGATGAATGCGTGGACTAGTGTCTTAGCTGCATCAAGTCAATGAACGGCGCATTGTACACAGCTGCTGTCCTTAGTAATAGCACCTTCTCGCAAGACGTTGTGTGTAGAGAATGTCAGTGCAGGATCAAAGTTAACTCCCAGCCAATTGACATCAGCAGACAGTGGAATGCCTGTGCCTGCCAGGGTGGTAATCCGACACTGAACCTTGGCGAGTTGCTGCCTGGTACCAAGCCAAACGAATTGGCTCGAGAAAATACATATGTGTGAGGGGGCAACACTCTATCCCATGCAGATTGAACAGATGGAGTCCACATTTTTGCTGTATCGCCTTCTCCTGGCAAGCTAGGGTATGACACCTCAACGTCCACGGGAACGTTTGCGTGATCCACCAACCCCCGCCTCCACAGTGGTCGATTACAGGCATGTGGTACTGCCGGCATAGCTGGATGTTAGAGTATATATCTGAATTAGTGTAACTTTTAGTGGTTTGAGAGCATAAATGCTAGCCGGGCAACTCTATCCAATGTACCCTGAAAACCTAAAACCTATATACAACACCATGTGAGTTTGTGAGTCACCCAAGGACATGAAAGGGTGACAATAAAAGCCTGGTGACATTAATATTGGACAGATAAAAGAGTAGTAGAAGCAGCAATAAAAAAATAAATTCCCGTCCAGAGCTCCTTGAGGGCAGAAGCACAAACAGCCAGGCTTGCGAGTCTACTCACAAGACACAAGACGGTAACAACAAAAGCCTGGGGACATCAATAAAGGACAGATAAAATAGTAGCTGAAATATCAATAATAAATAAATTTCCTCCGTAGCCTCTTGAGTGCAGGGGCACCTGCAGTCGGGCTGGGCACAATGGGGTTGGTCACGCATGCGCCTATTCTCCCTTATATAAAGAACGTCGGCTCAGCGAGCAGGGAAGTCCCCCTCCCAGCCCTCGTCCCATCCCTCGGTCGGTGGCCGCTCTGCTCGTCCACACGCAAGGCTTCCCCAGGATGAAGAGCACACGGGTGCTTCTGCTGCTGGTGGCGCTCGGCTCGTGTGCGTGCGGAGCGTCTGTCAACTGGAAGTCCCTGGAGGACCCCATGGCGAGGGAGATGGTATGGATCGCTTAACAACACTATTTTAAAGTATGTATCACCAGTCATTGGTTGCATGCAAGCGTTGATGTGTTTTGTCACAGCTTCTACCTGGTCAGGTGTACAGCCATTGTTTGGAGCGCTTGACGCACATAATTTATGGTGAAGAACACAATTTTGGTTAGTGGCTGACTTGACCCATAATCTTTGGTGGGGTTATCATAATCGTTACGACTTTGTGGGACACAGGCGGAATATTTTAAACTCCATTCCAGATTTCAACATTTTAACAATCAAAATAAGTATGTAGTGTGTTATTGTAATTTAATGTAACTCTATTGAGATTGGTAAACCTGTAAAGGTGAACCACGAGATGTGTCGACTAAAATTTAAGGGCGATTTTGACTTAATCCGGGGTGGCTGAATGGAGTCAGTGTGGCTGGACCCTCAGCTGGTTAGTGCTCCGGTCTAAAATGTGAATATTAGTTAGGGATAACATAATCAGTGTGAATTATATTTGCAGCACCCATTGTGGAAAATCTGCATCGACTGACCCTCCTTGCACCATATCCATGTTGCCAGATTCCAGATGCTTATTTGAGGTGTGGTAACGGTTGTTTCAGGAGAACCATTAACGTTTACGCCTTTTGGCGTCCTCTGGTCTAACACCATTTGAGACGAGGCTCAAAAGAAAGCTGTCTCTGGTTTGGACCAATCAGTTTCAAAGACAATGCATATATTATCAGAGTATCCTTTTTGACCACAAGTATTGTGGTTAATGTAGACATGATTCCTTGTGAAAGGTTTCAGTTTGGTGTTTTAACAACTTAACACCTGTTTTGTTGCCAGATAAAATGGGAAAACCTATTCTCAACACCCATTCTTCGGATATTTTATGGAAAATTAAGATGTCAACAGGATTTCATGTTTTATACTGGTCTCATCATTTCCTCATGGACTGTGATGCTCTCAATAATACGTGCTCAAAAGCAGGATTTTTCTCCTTTGATACATACTAATAGGTGTATTCATGTGTGTAAATCTATTGTGGCAGCAATGTTATACTGCTAAAGCAGACTGAGTTAAGATCCTGGTGACTGAGATAAAATTGGAATCAAGGAAAATAAACAAATGGTAAGCTGTGCATGAAACTGTCCTGGACTTCTAGGTTTCCAGTATTAAATAAATACATGGTGGAATATAAAAGCATCAATAATGTGAAGATATAGGCAGCCATGCTAGTGCTGACCATATCACCTCATCCTGTGCAGTGCTGGCCTTGGTGGGTTACCAACAGCATTTGAACTCAGGTCTTTATAAGGCTAAAACTGTCTTTGTCTTTTATGCCTGTGCAGTTTCTACGGACAATGCAAGCATTTCTTTATGGCCAAGCCAAGGACGGTGAGACAGGTGGCACACCGGTGTTCCCATCTGCCTGGCAGCCTCGACGCCCACCCCTCACCTTCCCCCCGCAGTCGTCTTATATGGTGAGCACCAGGCACCCAGAGCAAGCCTTGGGTCTATTTGATGGGACCAAGGTTTCCATTGAGAAAGGGAAGCGGCAAAGAATGATTGGTTTTGAATGAGTCACCTGTGGCCAACAATATATATAACGGCGCAGTTCTGCAATTACTTGCTCACACCACTGGTGTTGAAAGGGCTCCACTAGAGGGAGCTATGGAAAACCAGTCCAGGGGGTATTTAGCCTACTCTTCCACACTCGCCGGATGTCTTGGAAGAGGTCAGTCACCCACTTTATCCCGCGACACACGACCTGCCGATCAACTGTGTAGCCATTTATTCTGATGGATGGACAGAGGCAGTGGAGATTGGTTCAACTGCCGTGCAAGGAAATTGAACCGTGACCTCTGGATTGCAAGCCCGATGTGCTAACTATTAAACCAGCATCCTCAATGTCTCCGCACCTCCGATTAGCACGGTTGGCGACGTATGGTGCGAAAGAAGTTCAACATACATACTATTGCTGTTCTACCTGTGATCATTTAATTTAACGTCATTTTCAATTGTTTTTTTTTTCAGATGAAAAACTACTTCAAACCGAAACAAATGTCCAAGATGAACGATCTTGTTTAAAGCATTCTGTTATCTTTATGAATATCTGTGTGTGTGCATGTTTATTGTTTAATTTGTTGAAATAAAACAGGCATTTCCCATTGCCCGCGTTTTTTCCATGAAAAATAACAGTGACACATGTCTTTATTTCAAAAATATGTATATTCTGTTCAAACATTTTTAAAAAAACAATTATACATCTTCTTCCTCTATTTTAGAAATTGGGTAAATTTTGCACGTACCAACTGGTACACACCCAAGGCAGTTCACCCATGTGTGCAAACAGTATCTGTAAGAATGTTTTTTTTTGTTTAAATCACTGAAGACCACATTATTAACCGTGTAAATATAACCATCAACCATATAGTGTCCCTCGGGGTCTATACATCCACTGCACATTATGTGCATGACACACAGGTTATGCCAGGAAATGATAAGCAATCAATAGGAAGATAGTGCAAAGTGACTTATCATACAAATAGAAGACATCACGCTATGCCATGCAGGTAACTCTTGTACTTCTCAAATAGCTTTCTGGCAATGCTCAAGGTGTCTCCCACGGGTTCTGTGGGGTATTTCTTCCCATTGGACACAAAGGCGCTCTCCAGTAGGAAAGCCTGGGCATTAAACTCATCCTGGCGGAAGGGCAGTCCACTGCTGACACTCTCCACGAGCATGTCGACAAAGCGCTTCCAGCGTGGGGCATAGTAGTCCTGCACTAGTCCTGCCCACTGCTTGTTGCCATAGTCAAGGATGTTGCCTTTGGGTCCCCACAGCGTGATCTGATTGCGGGCGTTGAAGTCGTACATGGCGGCCTCTGAGGGCGACGTGGCCATGGCAGCCGCATCGCGCAGCCAGCGACCCAGCAGGAAGTGACCGTCGCTCGCCAGGAGGGCATCCAGGTCAGGGAAGAGATCCTCGACAATGACGCCACTCGCCTCAAGCAGCTCGCGGAGAGAACGTGCGGCAAACGCAGCGCGCACCCTCTCGTAAAAGTGAGACACCAGCAGCTGCATCGCTTGCCGACTCACGTCCGTCAAGTCGTAGAGAAAGGTCTGACTCGAGTCGAACTGCTCAGAGGCATTCAGCAGCAGCTCCCACGCCAGGGTGAGGTCGCTGGCATTGTACCACGTCGCCGTGCTCAGCTTGAGCGACGGTCGCCACACGAGCGGGCTCCGGTTGTGGTCCACAACATCGGTGGTGCAGTTATAAACACTCCGGAAGAGCAGCCTCCACGCCGCGACGGCGTCCGCGTTTGCCACTCCGTACCTGCGCGTGCCGTAATCGCCAGCCCAAGTCGCGAGGTCCACCGGCTCATCGCTCCACCCCTTCTCATTCATCAACTCGTACACCACGTCGTTCTGCTCGATGCCCTCAGGAGCGAGTCCGGTGCCCACCATTGTGGATCCCTCGAAAGTGCGTGCGGCCGCCGGTCCCGTGTTCACGCTCTCCACTTTGCCAAATAGACCGTGGTTGCCCCCGAAGTTGTGCAGCATGCACCAGATGAACGGCTGGCCATAGAAGGATTTTGTCATTTTGTAGACAGGGAAAGTTTCCGCGAAAAGGTCGAGTACCAACATACTGCCTTGAGGGACGCCCTTAAGCAGAGCCTGAACTTGGGGTGGCTGCCAGAAGTCTTGGTTGTGGTAGAACAGCCAGCCTTGCATCAGCCACACTGCTTTGCTGTCCACTGATTTTGGCGAAAAGAGAAATACAAATTAACCTTATGGCGGGACCCCGGGGTCACGTACGCCCCCGGCTCTCGCATAAACTGCGTTGCGACGTCATTTTATGTCTGTTGAAGGCAAACAATACGGCAATCTATTTCTCTCGACGAGCTCTACACGATGCGCTAATCAAAGTTTTGTTTCTTGTGGGCATTCGTCCTCACTGCGCTTGGACGATATGACAACAGAATGATCCGCGCCAGGTAGGTCGCGGTGTTTATGTGCGTGGTGGGACGGAGTTGCCAATAAATAATTAATTACGATTTTGACTTCTGTTTATTCGGGACCCCGGGGTCCTGCCATAAGGTTCAAATGATAAATAAAAATGCTGTACACTTGTAGCAATGAAATTTGTTTCGGGGCTTAATATTTAACGAGAAAACTGATACAATTTACTGACATTCGGGTTTAAATATTTATGCGGTAATATAATCTGGTGGAATGGTAGTGGCAGACTACATGACTGGCTCGCAGAAGATTTAATATGTTAATCCCGGTCAGGTGTTGACCGTCTTGACCCACTACCACAGTCCTCTGAGGTTTATAAAACGAGTACAGTGCCACCTTGTGGGAAGTGAACGATGGTTGCACTTTTGGAGAGAAAGGAACCTGAACTAAAACAAAACGAAATGTTTTTTTTATTTTACCAGTAAAGCCCACTAAGCTGTAAAGCTCTTTTTTTAGAGGCGACCTGGCCACAAATGATAGCTCAACGAAGTGGCTTATCGTGCGGAACTTTATATCAGTCAAATAATCTAAATGCATGTTTATTCTGAATGTGGAGGGAAAAACCAGGAGGACTCTGAGAAAAATCCACGAGACCAAGTGGAGGCCATGCAAGGTCCAAATATACAGGCGTCAGAGTCGGGATCGAACCCACGGCCTCCTGCATACCAGGGGAGGAAGATGGCATCTAGCCACCGCTGTGCCCAACTGATTTAGAGCCACCAATTAAAACATTAAATGACACCAAGGTTACTGCTCGTTTGAGCAGAGAGGCTCTGTGACTTTGTGCTTACAATAAGTGCATGTTTACGAGTTTGAAACAATAAGGCATTAATGGTGGGTAAAGCATCAGGTGCGAACCACTCACTCCTACCGGCTGTCATGGACTTGTAAATGGAGGCGCTCAGGCTGCCAAGGTAGGTGGGCTCCGAGGAGGAGGGTGTGTTTTCGTTGAAAGTATCGGCACTGTACACATGGTCTGTGCCCAGCGTCGCGATGATCCTGGAAAGGAACGCGCTGCTGATGGTGCGGAAAAGTGGATCCTCTGGGCTCAGCAGGAACGTGCAGGAGCAGTTGCAGTCAAAGTGGCCCCACGTGCCTAGACGCGTCACGTTGGCCTTTGGAAACACCCTACAAGAAAAATAGGACATGGCATCATGAATGATGGCCTCCTCCCACACAGTGATCGTCCTTGAAAGTTGTTCATTACAATGCAAATTGCTGCTCCACAGCAGTTATATAGCAATACATATAAAACCTCCATAGACCTAGTTGAAACATTCAGAATTTTCAGTTTATTCCTCGAGTTGTCATGATTGCAAAAATCAGTCATATGATAGCGTAAAAAGGACATTTTAAAATAAAAAAATAACCATCACAAAAGTCGAAAGGACCACATTATCCAGAAAATCATTTTGTTTCACAACACATCTCTGCATCATCACGAGGCACAACTCGAGTCTTGTGACCCTGCGCGTTCGCTCACCGAGTGATGGCCTCAGGAACATGGCCAGCAAACGCGGGGAGGACGGGCATCATCCCAAATGAGCGCATCCGTTTCACAATCTTCATCTGCAAAACACCGCATCGCAACAGCACCCCAATGCCTCACTGAAAATCACAAGAGCACGCTTAACGCGATTCGATAATGTTCAAAGCGTGGGCAACCGAACAGCGTGTTGGTTTGAGTCTGGGGAGGAAGTATTGCAGCTTCGTCTGTGTGCCTCTGTTACGTAAAAATGCACGGGGGAAACATCCGGAGGCAACAACCTGAAGTGCAAGCTGTCCTTGGTGCCAGCTCTGCGGCAGTGGTCCTGCCCAGCTGTGCAAGTTGCCCATGCGCTGCCAGGCCAGAAAGGCAGGGCCCACCGTGAATGCATCGAACTCTGCCTGCGTTAGCCCCAGCGCCAGGTAGACCTGGAGTCACACGCGAGGGAACAGCGGTGGTTTGAGCGTCGAGGAAGAACATCAATGTCAAGGCACCAAAACGAGGGCATGTGAAAATGCACTCGAACAATGGAAGGTTCTGCACTTTTAAAAGGTGTGACGAAGGTCAGCTAGTGTGCAAATACGTAACCGCAGATACAATTTACTAATCTGCACAAAGGTTATGTATATACAGTACATACAATAGATACATTGTCACATGAATTAATGATTTCTCAATCCAACTGAAAGTGCAGCTCGAAGGTCTTTATTCTCAGAGTAGAATTCCACACTGGCAAGCAGAACCTTCTGCCAAATGGCCTCCTGTCCGGTGAGGGCGAGTGGGAGGTTGATGCCATTCAGGACCATCCAGTCGATCTCCTGCTGCCAGCGCTTCCAGCTCCACCACACAGCCGAGTAGCTTGGGGTGCACACGTTCTGGTAATAGCGGAACCTGAAAGTGCACAAGCCCCGGGTTAGGGGTCAGGTTTATTTACATCAGGGTTCAGCCAATGCCCTGTTGCTATGGCTGCAAAAACGACATTTGGAGGACCAGGGAAAATGTCAGATGAGGTGCCCTGTGGCTCATTCTGAGGTCCATGATGTCCTTTTTGATGCTACCTTAGATCCGAGGACTGGGGCAAACAGATCCACCTGCCCCCGAACTCGGCCGGGTCATGTCAGCGTCAGGCTAAATGCAGGACTATGTTCTCTTGGTGTTTTAATTGGGGTTAATGTCAGTAGTATGTGGCATTGTTTCTCCATCACCACATAACCGTGTAGGCTGGTGGGCTAGGTTTAAAGGATTAGATGTTCACTTGAGTGTTGGGGTTAGAGGCAGGGCTATATTCTGTTAACATTGTTCCTTTGAATAGGGATAGATTTAGGATTGGTCAAACACGCCTCTTCCCGTGAACACATCATTAGCGGAGATGTGGAGAATATAACAAAATAAATACATCTTCACATATCTGTCCCTCCACGTAAAATAGTCTTTTTTAACACTTCCCATCAACCACAAGGGCTTCTGAGAGTGCATAATGTAAGAAACATTGGTTCAATACAAGCAAACCTTTTTTATCAATACTTTCGGACATATGTATGAATATATATACTTTCTTCACGTGAATGTCAGTGTAATCATTAGATGCAGGTCCATGTCTTATATTGTCCTCTAAGCGGGTGTTTCAGGATCAGTGTGTCAGGGTTACATTTTTCTCTATTTTGCACTCCTATTTGGATAGTTTGTATTGTTTGAAGCTGTAACTTGCTGACCCGAATATACTAGATATCTGTGAAAAATAGCTTCATAGCTCATCGGATTCCTCCAGGATAAATAAAGATTTTGATTCGAAAGGGGTAGGTCAGTGTCAGGGCCCTGGGATGTGTCACGATGAAGGGCAGTGTCAGAGTGAAGGGCAGGGTCAGTGTCAGAGTGAAGGGCAGTGTCAGTGTCATAGTGAAGGCCAGGGTCAGTGTCATAGTGAAGGGCAGGGTCAGAGTGAAGGGCAGGGTCAGTGTCAGAGTGAAGGGCAGTGTCAGAGTGAAGGGCAGTGTCATAGTGAAGGGCAGGGTCAGTGTCATAGTGAAGGGCAGGGTCAGAGTGAAGGGCAGGGACAGTGGCAGAGTGAAGGGCAGGACCAGTGTCAGAGTGAAGGACAGGGTCAGGGTCAGAGTGAAGGGCAGGGTCAGAGTGAAGGGCAGTGTCAGTGTCAGAGTGAAGGGCAGGGCCAGTGTCAGAGTGAAGGGCAGTGTCAGAGTGAAGGGCAGGGCCAGAGTGAAGGGCAGTGTCAGTGTCAGAGTGAAGGGCAGGGTCAGTGTCAGAGTGAAGGGCAGTGACAGAATGAAGGGCAGGGCCAGAGTGAAGGGCAGGGTCAGTGTCAGAGTGAAGGGCAGTGTCAGAGTGAAGGGCAGGGCCAGAGTGAAGGGCAGGGTCAGTGTCAGAGTGAAGGGCAGTGTCAGAGTGAAGGGCAGTGTCAGAGTGAAGGGCAGGGTCAGTGTCAGAGTGAAGGGCAGGGTCAGTGTCAGAGTGAAGGGCAGGGTCAGAGTGAAGGGCAGGGCCAGTGTCAGAGTGAAGGGCAGTGTCAGAGTGAAGGGCAGGGTCAGAGTGAAGGGCAGGGTCAGAGTGAAAGGCAGGGCCAGGGTCAGAGTGAAGGGCAGGGCCAGGGTCAGAGTGAAGGGCAGTGTCAGAGTAAAGGGGAGGGTCAGTGTCAGAGTGAAGGGCAGTGTCAGAGTGAAGGGCAGGGCCAGGGTCAGAGTGAAGGGCAGGGTCAGAGTGAAGGGCAGGGTCAGTGTCAGAGTGAAGGGCAGTGTCAGAGTGAAGGGCAGGGCCAGGGTCAGAATGAAGGGCAGTGTCAGAGTGAAGGGCAGTGTCAGAGTGATGGGCAGGGTCACTGCCAGTCAGTCAGTGGCTGTGCTGTCCCCGTGTCCTCCCTCCTCCTCCCCCTCCCCCCACTCGCCTGTTGGGGCTCTCCACACGCACAAGGGCCGGCACCCGGGGCAGGGGCCTCGGCAGGCGAAGCTGCGCCCCGGACCACGACACCTGACAGCCGCAGTGGCGCTTGAGGAAGAAGTAGAGGCCCGAGGCGGCCGCCACGCCGCTGCTGCCCCGCACCTCGAGGCGGCCGTCGGCGCCGCTCTGCAGCTCGAAGGCCCCGCCGGGCGCCGCGCGGGCCACGGCCGGGTCCACGGACACCGAGAAGTCGCCCGACCGGCCCGGCAGCAGCCGCTCGATCAGCAGCTCCACCGCCCTGGACTGAGTGCGCGGCTCAGCGGAGGAGGACAGCCCGGACACCCCGGAGCCCGAGCCGGGGTGCCCCCCCGGAGCCCCGTACACGACCCCGAGCCGGCAGAGGAAGAGGAGAGGCCAAGCGAGCCCCGATAGGGACACGCGGGGCCGGGTGGGGGCCCCCGAGCGGAGGCACGGGGACGCGGCCTGGAGAGGCATGGCGAACCGCAGGGAGACGGGCGATGGAGGCCAAGATCACCCATCCGTTGTCTTTCTGATTCTCTCTCCTTCCCCGCACCCGCCGTGTTCAGGGCGGAGCGAGGAGAGGAAACACGCGCGCAGAACCGCCCTGAAAGCATGGCTGGGGGTGGGGTGGTCTCACTTGACATTTGGGGGCATGGCTGGTTTTAAACATTGCGCAGACGTGTGTACAACGAGCACTATTGCCACCGTCGTGCAAAAAAGCCACCAAACACTTAACGAATAACTGCATTGTGAACTTTCGTGTGTTATTTGAAACGTATGCTTACCTGGCCTTGTACTGGTTTATGATCGATTGTTTCGTCATTTAGAGATTTTATTATTGAGCATGGCTGTGTTACATGGGGGTCTGGGGGCATTGCTGGGATCAATTTAAGTCCCAAAGGTAGGGCCGGGCTACACAGGGGCACTGGTGCATAACAAGGTCCGATTGGGATGTAAATTGGGTCCAGGGGCATGGCTAGATTTAATAGTCATCAGATTATAACAGATCATAGCCAGGCTCCACGTGATGGCTAGGTTACACACGGATCCATGGACAAAGTGGTAAATTGTGACTAACCAGCCCAGCGTTCTTCATTGCCAGGCCCGCAAGCCACTTGTGGCCCGCGGTGGCCTTTAGTGCGGCCCCTGATGGCCTTTAGTGCGGCCCCCGGTGGCCTTTAGTGAGGCCCCCGGTGGCCTTTAGTGAGGTCCCCGATGGCCTTTAGTGAGGCCCCCGGTGGCCTTTAGTGAGGCCCCCGGTGGCCTTTAGTGCGGCCCCCGGTGGCCTTTAGTGAGGCCCCCGGTGGCCTTTAGTGAGGCCCCCGGTGGCCTTTAGTGTGGCCCCCGGTGGCCTTTAGTGAGGCCCCCTGGTGGCCTTTAGTGAGGCCAGACTGTCCACGACAGAGTTGCCCGTCCGGCACTGCGAGAAGGTAGGGAGTTGTTTTGCCAGACACAGACACACACACAGACACATACACACAGACAGACACATACGCAGCGTGCTAACCACTACACTACAATGCGTTAGGTTTCCACACACACACAGACACACAGACACAGCGTGCTAACCACTACACTGCAATGCGTTAGGCTTCCACACACACAGACACACACAACAACAACCGCCATTCGCCACTAAGTGGCGGTGACGTCACCACGACGCTTGTGCCAGGCTATGTGCACCCTGAGGCCACGTGAAGTGTCGAACGCCCGCTGGCAGGTCACGGGGCAGACCCAGGTGCCACGGGTCAACTGAGATGACTGGCTGGTGCATCACCTGTGCCCCCTACTGTGCCAATCCGCTGTGCTTCGGCCACCCGGCGCTCCGGTCGTTGTTGTGAGCGCTCACAACAACACACAGACACATACACAGCGTGCTAACCACTACACTACACTGCGTTACGCTTCCACATGCGCTGGTCACATGACAGATTTGACGCCACAGCTCACTTGCCGTGCAAAAAAATATATATGCATTATTGAGCTCCCCCCCCCCCCCAAATGTGTATTTTAATAATTTTTTCATGGTGTGCAGTCTGGAAAGTACCCACATGGCAAATTTCAAGTTTCTTGCATGTCGGGAAGTATGCTAAACATTTGGAACAAACATAATCCCAACTTTGCCTTTTAAATTGACCGCTGTGTACGAAACACCACCTCTCACGAGTTTATAATTAACTTGCCATGCCTTAAAGATGTACTTCCTACATTGTTATCCACCTGCACATTTTGATAAGGTACAGTATTTTAATGAGGACAATAGTAAAGTGCTTTTCATGATTTTAAAAACGTGTTCGTTTTACCTTTTTTCTCCGCTTGTGAATGATATTTTACAAGGCGGAGAACACCGATGGACAACTCTTGTAAGACACACCTGGAAAATGTTAATTTAAAGACCAAAAGACTGGCAACTTAGGAGAAATTAAAGGTTATGCAACCAAAGGTGTGGTGTTAACGTGTTTCAACCAAAACTCTATATAAACCTGTCATTACAGGACTAATTATAAATCCCTCGTGGTTAGGTGTGTGCTAAAAAACCACACACCTAACCATACATCTCAGTAAATTTTAGATTTTAAAAGCCAAATTGTATAATACAGATAGTCCACAGTATTTTTAAATTGGAAGAAATATATCATTTCCAATTGGCTACCTCCATCACGTCATTGTAATGCACCCTCCAAAGTGGATTCATTTTAAAAGCAGAGAAAATGGGTACTGTAAACCACTCTACTGCAAACATAAATTAAAATATTTTGATTAAAGTGTCGGGAAAGAAATCAATACATTTCATGAATTAAAGCAATATAGAACTATTATTATCCATGCCCCTATTATCTGTGGGATGTGTTGGGTCCACATAAACTACAATTATCCGTGGCGTTCTGTTTAGTGCATTTCGTTTTTCCAGTCCTGCTTTGCGGAATGGCTTCCGATTATCCACAGAAGATAGAGTTAATCAGCAAATTAATCATATTATCTGCAATTATCCATGATTTCCCTCGCAGATAAATAGTCAATTTACGGATTACACAATGGATAATAGTGCATCCGATATTCGTCCCCACATCACTACGGATAAGAGGTGTTCGTGTTCTGTATTTCAAAATAGTGCACGACCGATGTATTGAACCCTTTTACAGAAAATAATATGAAACACGCAGGACGCACGGGCTATGCAGAGTTTAACTTTATTGTATTCAAGTGGTGTACAGTGTTTTGATTGGACCATAGTGTTAGAAGGTGTGCAGTCCGGCACCTTACTGCCGGGGTGGGAGGTGGGCCGATGGCACCACACAGCCCAGCCCTTTTTGTGGAATGATGGGAAGCATTTTGCAGACAAAACACAACGAAAAGTATACTTCATTAAATAATACATCCAATAAAGCCCAAATTTGAAAGCAGGGGAAATGATGCCCCGGGCACGCACGCATGCAGGGAGATATCTGAAAAGGTGTGTGAGACCACATGCTCAACGTTTCAAACATTTAGCAAAAACATTAAATGCAAAGAGATATTTTCTTTCGACGTTGTGAATTTTTCTTCAACAGATCATGAATACAGATTAAATGCTCTGTGACAATCTTGCAGGAATAAATTGTCATTAAAGGTGAATCGTAGGTTTTTAAATGATTTACTGCGTCTCACTGGCAATTCTCAGATGATACACAACACATCAAACATAAAAATACTCAAGCAGCAACAAGCTCTTGGGAAGTTTTTAACGTCGTGGTATGGCACAGCATTACAAAAGAAATTGTAAGTAACTTTCATTCGATATGTGTGATCCACTCAGGCCTTTGTGCCAACATCAATTCCCAGAGCGAATCTGTGACCTATTCCACAGAGTTTAAGTTACTGCAACTACCGTACGAGAGTATAATACATTGCTAATGATGCTTGTGTTTATCATTTGCAAAAACAATTTTGATAAATCACTATTTCTCCATGAAATCCTTTAGCATTACTGACAATTCAGTTTATTTTAAACTCCACTCCCCTGCAGATTCATTTTTACCATTAATCAAAAAGAGCTTATATGCAATGTTTCAATTTAATCTCCTTAAACTGGAGACATGGTAAACGTGATACCTGCGAGGTGGAGGACCTCTAGAAATGTAATTAAACACGGTCCTCGTAGGCAGTGAGTTGTCCAGTATCAAAAGGGCACGTGACACACGAAAACCATCCTCACTCCCACTTCTGACCAATTTTTTTAGTTATTTGCCACAGATGTTGCAACTGGCAAACCTACACTAATGCATTGGAAGACTGCACTCAAGAGATGCAGTAATGGATAAAAGGCATGGGCCGTCGCTTTCCGATTTTCCTACACGAATATGCGCAAAATGACCCATGTCAACCGTGCTTTTTAATGCGGAATACAATTGGCAGGTGATAAATTACTCCCAAGAGCAAATTCTAAAATAACACATCAGTGAGCACGAGTGATGTCAGCAATGTGAGTTCCATATCAATATTATTGTTTGCAGCTACAACTTTGAAATGCATTACATGCCCAACACTATCTGTGTTTACATCCAGTATTATGTTCATTTTGCTATGGCAGCACTGTATAAAAATATTTTACTGAACATCATTAAACTAAGACTCCAAACACAGTAAATTAATTGCACCAAAGAATTACTGTGATTTTCCCATTTTTACTTTGCATTACAACGGTCAACTAGCACCACACAGCGGCAATGCAGAAACGAAACATTTACATTTTCGAGTATGAGACTGAAAGCAAAACAATACAAAACGACTTGAAGATACTATTTTCTAGGCACTTATTTTGTGTACCAACATTGGCAGTAGAGACATTTGTGCACCCACTCTGGCAGCAGAGACAAATCATTCTTCAGCAGAAGTCACTTATTTACATTATTTTGAAGAAGCACAAAGCATGCCCTTTGCATGCCAACGAGAACGGCAGTGATCTTGGCTTGGTAGCCAATCTTCATTGAGTAAACACGCATTCCAATGGAAGGCCATGAGAAATAACAAGGCAGTGATCTCTGGTTTATGAAATTCTTTAGACACGCAGTTACCACGAGAAAAAATCACTTAAATACCCCAAAAAGGCACCATTTCTACTTCTCCAACATTGTTACAACAAATTTATGATTTTAAAATGAGCACTTGTTTTGTTGTTTTTCTTTAAACACACGTGAGCAAGCAATAACAATTCCCATCAAAATGTTGATGATGACACAAGTTTTTAAACAAAAAATATTTAGATTTTTGGTAATGACAGTTAAGACCGTTATCTTAAACCCTTTTTGCGGCAGTGAGGCAACATACGAGTCGGGTCCCATGACGAGGCCACTCTGGTTCTAAGGGTTCAAGTATGGCTGTTGATGCTGCATCCCAAAGGCCTGGTTACAGGCCAGAAACTAATGCGTCTCCACTGTGGTGCAGGTCGGAAAACAACAAAAAACAACGTGTGAAGGAGCAAACGTGAACACATAAGGCAAACATGTCAAAGACATGCAATTACCAGCATCACCCTGCGACTCTTGTTAGCTGGTGATTTTTTAAAATATCACACTATGCTTGTACATAAGTTGCATAAACATACAGCCTGATTGTACACTCTTCTTCCGAGACAATGGGATAGTTAACGAACAGCTGAGCAGTGTACATTTACTGCGTTTACTCACGTTTAAACAACCTGCAGCTCAAGTTTAATCTAATGAGCAGAGTATGCACAAACACAAAAGCAAACCCAGACCAAACCACCAAGGCCCTCCTTCACCTCTATATGGAGGCGGCAATTCTGTGAGTAGAGCAGCGACTGCTACGGTTGAGCCTCTGCAGCGTTTATCACGGAATCCGACCATCCGCTTACAATTACTGCAGTGTCATTCTGTACAAGAGCTCCAACACCTTTAGAGCTTACACAAGTTGTTCCTGACAGTTCAATAGCAGCGTTAAGTGATTTTTTTTTACGTTTTATGTTTTGATGTACACAATAAATACCTCACCTCTAATATAAGCTTTTCCATGTATTGAATTGGTTTGCTGTCTGCCCTGAAGTGTATAAGGTTTTGAATAGCATTCCCTGTGTTCATGTGCATGTTAGATCAAATAAATAAGCCGGCAGTGGCTGGAGCAGCTACTTTGGTCCCTTTAGGTACGTTTGCGAGCGCTGTGCCGTTAGTTTTACCGTCTACATTGAGGAATTTGGTTTTTGCAGAACCGGGACGAAAAAAAAAGATAACATCACAATTCCAGAGTCTGAAACGTACACACAGACTACTACATTTAATTGTGCAAATTAAACTGATCTTGTTGTTGTAGATAGCTGCCTGAAAGCACATGCAGGTTTTAGAAATGGTTTTCCAATGATCCAAGAATGGAAGTTAGTATGTTAGCACACAAAAACATCCCATTAATTGCAGGTCGTAATATTGACACAGCGCATGTACTTATTAATCGGTTATAAAACCAACGGTAACATTAACAAAATGTCCTCTATAGTTTTGCATGCAATGATAAACCTGAACTGCATAGTAACGTACAGGTTCTACAATACCACGATAGACAACCTTACCAGGTGTCAGATTGAATTCTTCGAGTTGAGCATTAGCACAGCAGTGCACGTACAATGCAATGCACAAGCAGCTGCTGCTGCTGCGAATATTCATGGTACCCAAGAGCACAACAGATTACACATTGACATTACGATCAACAGACTACACATTAACATTACGATCAGCTTCATGGACAGCCTCATGTGACCGTGCTCCATGACCAACAGGCACTTGTTTTCTGACTTGCGCACAATCAAGTCAACCCCTCCGAGAGTCACTCTGGTCCAGAAATCAGCGGTCCAGTGCAGCAACAACTCCACGAACAGAAACGGTGTTTGGATGCACATCACAGGTTTCAAGTGAACCTGAGGAGGGACTCCCCACATCCTCATTTAATGCATAATTGACTTAGCAGAGACCATCAATGTTAATTGGAATTTAAATGGCACCTAGCTCAAAGGGCAAAAGGTATAATGGTGTGGTGCCACGACCATTGTAACCACTTTATGCGGTCCAGGTCACTATTCTGTAATGATTAACAGTGTGTAATACCAAGTATAAATTTAAGGCAATTTAGACACCTACCTATTTCGTGTTTTAATTTGTTTTCGTCTTGCCATTCTCACCAGTATCAGCCCAGTCTCAATAATAGGCAATACTGCAATAACGCAGAAGGCTGTCACCTCCACGTCTGCTGGTATTCAGGGAGAACAAATGCGTAACATCTTTAGCCCAGGTCTCTGATATCAGCTGGAAGTGCAGCACTGGATAAGCTGATGCGAATGCTCCACAAATTTAGCAAGGCACTTTAGCAAATGTATTGCCTGCTGAATCAAGATAAACCACGCAATAGAAGCACAACTCACAGTGAATAATTGGTTTGATAATCAAGATTCATTAACTCCCAGGCAAAGCACAGATGAAGCTGCACATGCAAGCTCCTATTCTGGAAACAAACGCACCCACGCTGGTTAGTAAGTGTTTTACCACAACATCAGTTCAGTGCGAACTTTTATATCCATAAAACAAACTAATTGCAAGCCATATAAATCGCATATTTACTGTAAAAAGTCTGTCAATTATATAAACGTCTGTACCCATGTGAGAGCGTGAAATTTATGCCGACTACATCAAGATGGGGTCGGGTGGCAGAGTGGCTTGAGATGTCCTGACTGGCGGCGACTCCTGGTGGAGGAGTAACACTGCAAGCTCCTCCACTCTCAAAACTCCTCGCTTCTTTTTAAAGTTAACATTGATTGATCGTATTGTGTGAACTCGGTTACAATGCAACTGTGATGACATGGAAAATTTGTATGTTCAAAATAACGAGTAAAATTTGGATTGAAATTGTAGTTTTTGGCACAACAAAGTAAAAAAAAGGTGGGTTTAATAAATCAGGAAAATGATAAATAATTTAGCTTAATGCTCAACAACACTTATCCAGTATACAAAAATACAACTCCTGAATAAGTCAGTTTTTACAGTTGGCTTCATTCCCAGACAGACAGCTGACGTGGCAAGTGAAAGCTTGTAGGGGTAATTTATTGATAAAGCGACATTTTATGAATGTGCCTGTGTGTGACATTCGGGAAGCGTTTGCCAGGCAAGTGCGAGCAAAATAACCCTGCTCTTCAATTGGATTGATCCTGAATGGGAAAATCTATAAAAACTCCTACAAACATCACCTTCTCTTCCTCCCAAACACATTCCACTATGACCCTACAACGTAATATTATTCAAGTAACAACACTCTTATTTTTACACACGTGATCTATGCTGGTCAACTTTTGTCAAACTATTTATGTGCGTTCAACGCAGATGTATATGAATAGCCAGGTACGTGTGTCAACTATGCAAACTATGTCCACCATGCCGTCTTCAGACCAATCAAAAATGCATTGGCCTTGCCCCTCACCTGCTCTTCATGAATGTAACATTGCTTTGAATGGCCGAGTAACCCACCAACTAAAAACAAACTATGATGCACCCCCCTACCCCCCCAACCACTATCTCTGTTGACCTTGAAGGTAGGCAGATGCCCAGGTTGGACGGTCACTTCACGATGCAGCAAACACAAAGCAGCAGCTGAGGCCTCCAAGAGAGGAGTGCATTATTGCGAGAAGTCCCAATATGATGAGTTTGCCAGCTGCCACCTTGGCACGCAACACTCACACACAGAAGGGGGAAAAGTGGACACTTCTGCTCAGGCCCTTAGCAGGGCACACGTGGCAGGGCAGAGTGTAGGAATTTGCCTGCGTTGCTCCTGGGCAACCCTGCTAGTCACAGCTGATACATCCGCAACACCTTCTCCATACATTACATCGTCTGAAACACTGTGTTGAATTACACTGCAGTCACACACAGCCACTCCCTAACGACTTACACATTTGGAATATTTTTTTGTTCTCACAATTCTCCCTCTTTCGTGGTTTAAAGGCGACGCAATTGTAAAAATAAATTACTTGATACAAGGTAATAATTTAAACACAACCGCGCCTTTTTGCCTGTGCTTTCAGAACCAAAAGCGAGCCTCTAAGCCTATATCTTTGTCAAAAGAGTGAGCAGTCATCCCAAAAAGGAATGCAATTTGTCACTGAAAGTTGGCCCTATATTGATGGAATTTTTTTTTATCACTAAAAAAAAGGTGTGGGTTCAATGTGCTATATTTAGAAAAATACATAGCTACACATTCGCTGTGGTTAGAGATCTCACCGAGATCTGAATTTGCACAAACTGTGACTGTAAGTCGTTCGAATTATAGTTATCGCCATCACCGACGCTTCCATCAAACTCCCAGCAGAGGTCGCTGCTCTTCCATGGCTGCGCGTGTACAGTCCTCGCCAGCCAAGGTGATGATGGCTCCCTGTAGAGGACGAATCATCCAGAGGGGTGGTCCTTCTCCTCTTGAGTTTTGCCTTTGAAACAGCAGCGCTCACGTCCCCACAGCCTCTGCCAGCACGGAATGTCAGCTCCACATGACACGATCACCGCAGCTGGCAGGCGAGCAGCTCATGCCCTCCCCCCACCCCGCACCAAAACCTCCCCCCCAGCCAACTTGCTCACCTGCACGCACCCTTCACACTCCCCGTCCCCTACCGCGGGGTCGGGAGGGTTGCGAGGTTCAGGAGGGCGGCGCACTCTCCGCCTGCCGCTCGGCACAGCGCAGCGGAGGGGCCGGGAGGTGCGCGCCCTCGCCCTCGGCCTCGCCTGCATCGGAGAAGTACGGCTGCTGCAGAGCGCTCAACGCAGAGATGCGCTTGCTCGGGTTGAAGGTCAGCAATTTCTACAGGAAGCAATGGCGCACAAAGGGAAGAGAGAGAGAGATATAGAGGAGATGCGGTCATTGCAGTCAGCGATGGTGTTGCGATACCAAGTGAAACGTTTGTGAGAGTGCTAAATAAAAATAGGAGGCATGTAACAATTCTGACGTTTAGCATACACGGATGGAATCATTGATGTGAGAATTTATTATTTACAATGATTGCCAAATTACATGCGATTTAGATGCTGTTAGCTTTAGGCTAATGGGACAATTAAAACTGTCCGAATGAGACCAAAAAAACGAGGAACAAATGTGACGGTAAACATTTGCCCAAAGAATTGTTCATTTAATTGTGACCCTGTTTCAATTAATCAGAACTCTGGAGGGTTGAATGACTAAAGGCTACAAAAGAAAGTAACGAGTGTTTAAAAATGTATTATTTCCTGGGAAGTATGGCTTGATAATCTTTGGGCCAACTCAACTTTCAGAAGTATTTCAGGTTTCCACAATATGGGAGATATGGACATGTTTCGTCCTCATAATGGCACATCATGAAACCATATAAAAACTACGGATGAGACCACAGATCAACCACGTACAGTATCTACAAAGACACCGAGGATTAAAAGTGCACCACCAGCACAGGAAGACTTGCAAGTGTGAGGCTCCAAATTTGACAAATTCTATAATTTCCTCCAAATTTGTGGGAGTCTAGTGCACCAGGTGACTCTCGCATATTACACTTCTCTTGGTCTCTTAAGCTCTCACCTGGTTTAAGATATTAAACTTAAAACTTGAAACACTGGGTAACACTAAGCAAACCGTCATTGTACAAAAATACAACAAGAACATGGAAGTGTATACACGTAGGCGCTGGTTTACTGCACAGATCATGAAAGATGGCATAAAATAAAACGGAAAATTACGCTAGTTCTACTGTTGTTATCTTAGTGCTGGATGTGCTAAATGGAAGTGCTGGCGCTGTGACGGGAAGTGGGAATATGTTGCACCGCCGGGGTAGAACAAGCCCCCTCTCACCAGCAGCAGCTCCTCCCCCAATGGCCCCATCTCTGGCACAAAGTTTTTGAGTGCCTGTGGGGGGCGGTAGGCAAAGGAAGTGTACGGCAGCGACACGTCCTGCGGCCAGTCGTCCCGGTTTGGCAGGCCCAGTAGACTGCACACCATGGAAGCGGTAGCAGCAGCAGCAGCATTAATGTCGGAATACATTTTCAACATTGCCATCAGCATCGGCGTCAGCACCATCACAATCAGCGTCATCATTCGAATCATAATCAACGTCAATTATTCGTGTCACAATCTGCATAAGCGTAAAATTTCAGCATGACCACCTGCAACAGCCTTTCCATAAGCATCATCATCAGCATCAATTTTCAACGTGACTATCAGCATCATCGGCATTAGCATCAGGGTCTGCATGTGCATCAGCAGCACCAGCCTCTTATGTCGCTTTAACAGTAGTCAGAGACAAAGGGGCATCTAAGCTTATTTTATATTTATAGAGTAACTTTAACATAATTACAAAAAACGGTAAAAACAAATAAATGATTTCGATGGCAGGGGCGTGCAAGGGATGAGGAATGGGTGATCATGGTAGAGGATAATTAGGGGGTTAGGAAAGAGTACGGGAGGGAAGAGAATAGGCAATGGAGGTATATATGCAGCATGGGTATGGAAGAGCCACATACTCTCGCTGGGAAGATACAATTGGTATGATGTCACATATCCTGTCACAGAGTGACAGGGATTCATCTCAAAGAGCACAGGACACGCACGTCGTCCTGTTCTTGTCTGCCAATGCCATGACCGTTGCTTGTCTTCCAATTAAAAGCCACTTCTATGGGTCCTTTTAAATTCCATTGACTTGGCTCGGTGCTGGCACACGATGTGGAAAAGTAGTCATTTACATTCCGGTGATACCTCTTTGAGATGGTGTCAAAGTGGCCACATTTACTGGCTGTTCATTAACCTGCTTACGTTTCAGATACTGTACTTCAGTCGATGTATTTTGAAATTATGCACAAATAAGACACGACAGTTCACCTTCATGAATTGCAATTCCTTACCAAGCTGCACAGAACACAATTCACATTCTGCTGTTGTGTTTCATTTCCAGTTAAAATGCACGTTGCAAGAAGATGAATGCGCATTGACGCTTTTAGGGAGAGCTGCTCGACTGCATACATGCATTCGCATTCAAATGGAACACGCATGGTGCCTGCGCTACTCAGGCACCACATTGCTTCCTGTGCTCCGGTGTGGAGAAGCGAAGCAGTGAGTGAAGTGCATGGTTGAAACCAACACGATAAACTCAAGGCACTTCCGTTGTCAAAACAATTCCAGAAACATTAGAATTTCTGGCAACTGGGCTTGTCACGATCGAATCCTACTTGTCAAATGGAATGGATGCTGCAAATGCCCCCAGGGTGGTTTAGGCCACATGAGTCAGGTCCTGGTTTCTATTTTAAGTTTATAATGGAAGTGGCTTGTCCAACAGTTTTGCACTCATCAGCTGGGGCAGGAAAGGGCCAGTTAAACAACCCAGGAAAGGAGCAGAGGTCACAACCTCTAACCTCATACCCCCACTCGCCCCGCCTGTGCATTTCCCAGAACTCGCAGGGAAGTGGTCAACTCTGCAATTGGTTCATGGGCTTCCACACGTTGACCAATCAGGGTCGGTTCCATTCGTGGGGCACACCTCGCTCACAGGTCACAAGCGGGAGGAAGCTGCGGAAATGAAGGTCAATCTGCTGGACTCCACCTCCACTACGTGGACACCCGTAAGTCAGTAATGGAGCCGTTAATCTCTCCCGAGAAGGCGCGTCCCGTTTAGAGGGAATTATCGGGCAACAAGAATGTGAAGCAGGAGTTCACTCCCAAGTCACAACAGTGATCCAGAAACTGATTGGTTGAATGCACACACAGGCAGATGATGTTAAGTGACATTAAACTCACGTGTATCTCCGCAAAGTATATCTCACTTCCATTATCGTCATTTTTATATGACAGAACATAACATATCCCGTGCGTAACATTACATTATTACTTGAGCAGCTGGTCAGGATATATATTTAAAAACTAAGTTTGTACCTAAGACATTTCGATTAACAAAATGGCAGGCGGGGCAGTGGTATAGTGGTGAGTGTACTGTGGTATGAACCCCACAACCCGAGTTCAATTCCTAGCCAAGGCTACCATAATCTATGAGTGATATTAAAACCGATACTGGGTACTGGCATCTCTTCCCCACCCCCTTCACCAAACCACACTGACCAGCGTGGTGAAGTATGATAACAAAAACCCTCCTGGGCAACACGGTGTGAGGAGGCCTTAATCTTTTGGTGGATTGAAAAAAGGGCTGGAATATAATAAGATGCCAGCAATTTGCTTTTTCCCTCGTGAATGCTTCTGAAGTTTTATAGTGCTATATTCGTGAGTGGAACAAACCACGCTCAACTTGATGCGAGAGCTGCTCATGCCTGACGTGGGGGAACGGAGGCTTGCGTATGCACACAGGTACCAACGTGTTGACATGAGAGAGGAAGCCCAAGGTGAAAGAAACATAAAAAACTAGAGCAAAACCTGTGAGTCTCCCCTCCACGCTTGCAAAGGCAGGAAGTCACGAGGGCTCGCAGATAAGTGTAGTTAACCCGCAACGGACACTTTTCCACCACCACCACCACCACCACCCAGGCCACACCTCCGCAGTGCTGCGCTTTCGAGGCCCCCACCCCATCCCTGCCTTCCCTCCCGCACATGCACGGCCGCAGTGGCGGTGGCGCCATCACATGTGCTTGTGCTGTGACTCGGTTGTGCGGAATGCACTCAATCCTTCGGTTGTGAACAATGATATGGATGTTGATTGCTTCAAGTATTGTCCAGGCAACAATGTAAAAATAACAAAATTCTGTGGAAATAATGTGTTTTTTTTTTTTACGAAACAATACTTACTCGAAAATCTTTGTCAGCTGATCAAAATCCGAGCTTCCGCAGAAGAGAGGCCTGCGAAGAAAAATGAGACAATTACTATAAACAGCGTCTCGGCTCCGAAAAACCAGGCTGCAGTCCAAGCCGTTAAAAAAGTGGAACTTTTTTCAAGTAATAATTTAATGGGGAGAGGTGGCATAGTGGTTAGTGCACTATGGACCCAACAACCTAAGTTTGACTGCCAGCTGCAGCTAACATCGGTGGTGCGCAGGGCCTTCCTCCATATGAACAACCAGCCCTGCCGGGCCTGTGCTCATGGTATGTGCGGCGAGGTGGGTGGCCGTGGCAAAGATACCTGCGTCTGAACATCTCGGCAAAGATGCAGCCAACGCTCCACAGGTCCACGGTGGTGGCGTAGCTCGACTGCAGCAGGACCTCCGGGGCGCGGTACCACAGCGTTACCACCTGCAGCCCATGCCGCACATGCAAACACGCGCACACACACACGCGCACACACATACGCATCCACCGTTATAAGAGTCCTTGGACATTACAGCAGCCACCGTCGGGACGGGAAACACCTCCCACGCTTTCCACATCCGCCAGTCCGCTCCGTCCATCTGCAGACATTGTATAACGCCTTAGAAACACCCAACGGTCACGATCAGTAGCCAAAAAGAAGAGGCCACATCTGGGCACATGGTGTGGTAATGAAAAGGGGCCATGCTGCATTGTCAATACCACTAACATCACCATTACCATGTAGCCACGTATTTTCAACTGCTTTCGCATCGTACGTAGCCAACCGTGATAAACGGAGGTGTGGGTGAAGGACAGGCTGTCACAACCATCACCACCACTATCTTGTCCATCTTGTGCGGTGCACCCACCACAGTGAAACGTGGTGAATCGTTATAGTTGTATTCAAGATCAAGACGTCACCAGAGCCAAAACTGTTGATGCCACCTATGCGTCCGAAACGCTTTTGACCTTCCGTCAGATTCCGCAGTTGCTGCACAGTAGACACGTAACCTCCAAGATCTGTTCTCACAGTATTCCACCATCGGGTCTTAGGTCTTCCCCCTGACTTAAAACTAAATCAAGCAATCAGAATTGTTTCTCAGGAGTCTCGGATTTGTGGTACGTATGTCAAGTCAGCAGAGGGCCACAAGCAACGTGGTATAAATAGGCCTGTTGCTGAGCAAAATCCTCCCGTGAGTCACAGCGAGAAACGCAGCTTTAGCACTGGTGCCGATAAGGGGTTAAGTGTGTCACTGTGTGGTGGTCAAGGCAGCCACAGACCGGCCTTGCTGTTGACTCGGCAAAATTTACCTCAATCGGAAAAGCTTGCCGGGCCAAGGCAGCAATCGCTGCCATTCACATTCCCATTGCCACACTTCTGCACTTCGATGACAGATTTGACGATTCAGAAATGCATTCAAAATATTTTTTTTACTTAATGTGTAACAAATTAAAGAACCAATGGATGGATGCATAGCTCTTCTCTTGGCTAAGCAACTTGCAGAGCTTCTGTGATGCTGCTAACAGGTTTTGTCGGTTTTCTTTGTAAATTTTCTGAACGGTAAACATTAACACCACTCAATGCGATGTGAACATTTCACACAAGTGTGCAAGTGAGTATGGACATTGGAATAGTTGCTCTTTACTAGAGTTCACGAGTTTACCGCATAAACATTCTCTGAACGTTAAATGAGCAAAAGAAAAACACCCATGGCAGCTCACAGAAAACCACAATGTGAAAGTTACACACGAGTCAAAATCCAGTGTAAAATAAATTGCTGACGGGAATTTCCTGCCGGAGTAACAAAGGACACAGTTTGCTCAAATGCGCTCACACACCTCGTGCTCTCACTGATATACTGCAGCCAATTTAACTGTGCAGACCAAAGGAGAAATTCATCTCTTTTTTGGATGCAATGTTCAGAAACGGCGCACAGGACTTCCTGTTGGAAGTGTGAGTGACACGCATCTTGGCCAACTCAGCCGCATTTGCAATCCTGGGTTTCACAAAACCATTAAGCCAACAGCCGTGACAGTATCTTGACATTATCTGGCACAGTGACACTCACACCGTCATGCCTCATCACTGCCAGGGGGATTTTTTTCTCTACTGACTTTTGAAAACTGCCATTTAGATAATTTGTGCAATTCAACAATACACTAAAGTAAAAAAAAGTCATCTGTGAAGCATTAAAACTTTCTGAACACTATCAAGTAAATCAAGTTGTTAGACCCTTTTTGCTGATTGGCCGTGTCGGGTGGTGGAGGGTTACGACACATTTATAAATAACGCGATCTAACCCAAAAACCTTTATTATGAATATTGGTCGCGAAAGCCTACGTGTTAAACTGACTAACTTCTATGGGGAGGATACTTATCTTAAAACCAGAAAGTTGGAGAAGCTCCGCATTAAGCGGATGAAATTGATATCTTCCCTGGCGTTCCTCAAAAGGTGCAGAGATTCAAAGGTAATACCAAACGCAGTTAAAATAACACATCACATAAAGTCTTCTAAAGCAAACCAAATACTACACAAAGCTAGCGAATTATTATTAAGAGAGAATACAGCACAACAGGAGTGAATTATCTTACATTTCAGAATCGCTAAAGCAGTTACACTTAGATATAAGCAATGGTGTATCCATGCATTATTGTAATGTAATCGATACCATAACACAACAATCGGCTGATGTGTTTAATCTAACAAAAACCAACCAAATGAATAAATATTCTCGACTCCATAATAAACAAATCCCGACTAAAAACGAACAATTTAAAAACAAAACCGTAATGAACTTGACTAACACTGTTTTAACCAGTGACATGATCTCTGTCCTTTCTCAAGGCCTTAACTTTGCCATTACCCCACGCACAATTCCAGTGGATGAGATAATTGCCGAGGTAGAATCAGCAGTAAGACTCCTTCCACATAATGAGGCAGAGATGACTAGACACGAGGTTGCCAAAATAATTGAGAATAGCAAAGTTCCAAACGTAAATATTAGCTCTAACGAAGCAAAAGCCTTAAGAGAGCTTCGTGTAAATAAATATATCCAAATCCTGGCAGCTGATAAAGGCCACACTACTGTAGTGATGTCATGAGCCGATTATGATAATAAAATTTGAAATTTACTAGAGGAAAGTACCTACATGAAAATTAAACGAGATCCAACTATTACTTTAGAACGTAAGACTACTGCAATAATTGCAAATTCATTAATCCCTAAGAATGAGCAATACCAAATTAAGCCAAGGGCCTCAAAACCACCTAGACTGTATGGGCTACCAAAGATTCATAAAATCGGCACCCCATTACGACCCATAGTCAGTACAATTGGCTCTGCCACATATAAATTAGCAAAATATATAACTAAACAAATACAGCCCTACATCGGTAGGACATCTTCATTCATAAGAAATTCAGAACATTTTGTGAATGTGATGAAAGATATTAAACTTAATCCTAATGATATTCTGGTAAGTTTTGATGTGATATCTCTAGTCACTAAGGTTCCAGTGAACAAATCGCTTAAATTACTTGATACACTAGTAAAGAATACAGGTTTACCAAAAGATATTCTGAGAACTTGCTGACCATTGTTTAAATAACACTTACCTCTTATGGAGAGGGGATTTCTTTAAACAAAAGGAAGGAGCAGCAATCTCCTGCTATAGCAAATCTGTACATGGCAACTTTGAAATAAGAGCACGTGTCATCCACATACCTGTGGATGACACTTTGGTTGTCTGGCCACATGGTAAAGATACACTTAATGATTTTTTGAATCATCTCAATGCACAAAACCCAGCCATCCAGTTCACCATGGAAATGGAGGTGAATACCACACTCCCGTTCCTAGATATTTTGCTTGGACATGGCCTAAACGGTAAAATAACACAGCGTTTACAGAAAGCAAATGTACACTGATGCCTATCTGAATGCAGATTCGCATCATCATCCAGCTCAGAAATCCTCTCTTATCAAGACACTCATACATCGGGCTAAAACAGTGTCAGATGGTGAAAGTCTAGTGAGAGAGATCAAATACGTTAAAGAAGCATTACGACAGAATGGCTACAATAATACTCAAATTAACAGAGCACTGAATGCCAAATCACGGTCGCAAAGCAACACTGCTGAAAGCGGTCAGATTGTTAAAACAATTAAAATTCCATATATCTCAGGAGTAACTGACAAATTAGCCCGTGTTTTGCAAAAGCAAAACATTACAGTAAGATTTGGTACAGTACACAAAATTCAAAAACTAACATCTTGCACTAAAGACGAATTACTTAAATTATCAACAGAAGGTGTATATCGGATTAATTGTTTGTGGCAGATGCTATATTGGACAGACGGGACGTGACATCAGCATAAGACTAAAAGAACACCAAAGAAATATTAAATTATCTCAAACACAACTGTCGGCAGTGGCAGAACATGCTTGTCAACAAGGACACTCAATTGATTTTGATAACGTTGAAGTGTTGTGTAAAACTAATTATTACTGGCAAAGACTAATTAGAGAATCCATTGAAATTGAGAGAAATAGAAATAACTTTAATCGCTCCAACAGCTACAGGCTTAGTCCGGCTTGGAAGCGTATTGTTAAATAATACATATTACAATTCCTTATAGGGGAAACACATACTAATGAACGGATTACTAACGTAGCATTTAATCACAATAACACACATTACAACTAATTACTAATCTACAACTAATTACTAATCATAACCATTGATTGATTACCAATCGATTATATAATTACAATACCCCCCCCCCCCCCCCCCCCCGCCTCAAATCGCAGCACCTGAATGAGTTAAATGATGACGTCACCGTGCTGCTCTATTTAAGACCGGGAGCAAGTGAGGGCTTCACTATTCTGGCAAATTGCCCGATGAAGCTGGATGTAATTATCAGCGAAACGTCGTACTCGAACTGTAAATGGTGTGGATTCACTCTTCAACACACCGGTGGGCTAAAGTAGTGAACTATGTCTTTTGTCAACGTGACACTTTTTTTGCTGATTGGCCATGTCGGGTGGTGGAGGGTTACGACACATTTATAAATAACGCGATCTAACCCAAAAACCTTTATTATGAATTATAGACCCTTTACACTTTGAAACAGAGGCAGCTCATAGTTGTAAGCCAGAATGTTTAAATGTATCTGCTGAAATTAACGCAGTGAATAAAGCAAATTGCTCAACAGCAGGGCGTTTGGCGGTGGCTACACGATTCGCCCTCTTTATGCTGAAGGCTTTTCCGCTCCGCGCCCAAGGCCGCCTGCACTGCGGTCACTGCTGCTGCGCTCGCTTTCAAAGAAAACCGGTAGTGGCCCCCGGCCGGGCGAGGCACAGTCCACCGCGGCGGAGGCTGCAGCCCGAGGCCGCCACTCGCAGGGAACATCCTGACAATAATCGGTCGCAACACGCGCGGC